TCTTCGTCTTCTTGAGGACATTACAGCCCGCCCTCACGTCCAGCCAGAACCCCACCTCCCAACCTGGTGATCAGGGGGTTCCTGGCTGGGATTGGGGGGGCTCGCTGGCTCCCAAGAGCCCCCTCCCCCAAAAATCCCCCCGCCCAGCCAGGACCCCCTGGACCACCGGGTCGAGAGTGGGGGTCCTGGGCTGGGGGGGGGGGGGGCTGGGCGGTCCTCCTCAGCTCCCGGAGGACGAGGGGAGCGGGCTGTGGCGCTTCCGCGGGCTCGACCTCTCCGGCCTGTGGCAGGGCGACCGCACCGTGCGCAGCTTCGAGGGCCTGCCCGTGGGCGGCAGGCGCTGCCGCGCGCTGCTGGTGCAGCTGCGGGAGGCGGTGGAGGTGGAGGGCGTGCACTTCAGGCACGGCTAGCAGCGTGCGTCCCCTCCTCTCCCCTGTTCTCTCCTCGCTCGGAGGGGAACAAGTACCGATACCGATCGCCTTGCCTCGTTGTCACCTGCTTGGAGCTTCTGGGAGGCCCTCGTCGCCAGGGTCAGATTCGCTTCGAAGTCTTGGCCAGGACGCACCCCGGGAGAGGTCTGGGGAGTAGCTGTATCGGTATGTTTTGGATTCCTTCCCCATGGTCGAAGAATCCAGACAGACAAAACTGGATAAGCATAAGCTTTCCAAGCTCCGCGCGGATATCCTAGATCGGCGCTTTGGCCGCCCTGGCGGCGCCTCCGGCGCTGCCCCTGGCGCGCTCCCCGCGCCCAGGGAAGCGGGGTCCTCCGCCGATCCAAACCAAGCCGCGCGGGCTTCCAACGGTTTATGGTTAGACTGCCTTGTCTTCCTCCTTAGGGAAGTGTCAGCACAGCGGTTGTGTTTGTCTCTTTTTCGCTTCTGACCTCCCGAGGGCCTCGTCTCACGATTTTGTCGTATGCCCCACCCGCCCCCCCCAGTCAGATTCCACGGCCCAGGGCAGGGGCCACGTTCAACACGCAAAAACCGCGCACCGGGGAGGACGTCTTGTCCACCAAGCCCACGACCAGGATCCTCGCCCACCTCCCCTGTGTTTTTTTGGGGTTTTTGTTTGTGATCGCGCGGATCGTCTGCCCTCCACAAGCTTCTGGCTCACAGGAAGGCAGCACACGCGCATCATCACATCATGTCCCTGCCCATACACAGGTGCCCTCTGGGGCTCCAGCCCGAAGGGAACAAGGCATGTTACAGACAGAGCAGGGCGTCAAACATTGCATGTCGCATCCATAAGTCACACGATTGTTGCTCGCTCTGGTCTCCTAGGGCCCTGCAAAGTGAATTACCCTGGGTCCACAGTCATCTTGGCTGGGGGGCCGTCATGCTCGGCAGGGGCCCCACAGGCGTGAGTCCCACTCGTGCCAAGTTCTCAGAGTCCCTCGTGGTCGACATCGCCGACATGTTTTTCCAGGCTTGGATCTTCTGCCCTCGTCATGTCGTGGGCGTCACCCCAACATACTAATAGTATGTGTGCGTCACCCCCCAGAGTGTCGACGCGAGCACCGAGAAATCTCATAGTATATGCTCCGTGGCGGGCGCTCTCTGGCCGTACTGCAGGGGAAACGATATAGTAAAGCATGGCTATACTATACATAGATGCTTGGGTCGGACACGCGCCTCCAAGGAGGACAGTAGTAGTCGTCGTAGTAGTAGTAGTAGTAGTAGTAGTAGTAGTAGTAGTAGTAGTAGTAGTAGTAGTAGTCGTCATCGTCGTCGTCGTCGTAGTAGTAGTAGTAGTAGTCGTAGTAGTAGTAGTAGTAGTAGTAGTAGTAGCAGCAGTAGCAGTAGTAGTAGCATTAGTAGTAGTAGTTGTAGTAGTAGTAGTAGTAGTAGTAGTAGTCGTAGTAGTAGTAGTAGTAGTAGTAGTAGTAGTAGTAGTAGTAGTAGTAGTAGTAGTAGTAGTAGTAGTAGTAGTAGTAGTAGTAGTAGTAGTAGTAGTAGTAGTAGTAGTAGTAGTAGTAGTAGTAGTAGTAGTAGTAGTAGTAGTAGTAGTAGTCGTAGTAGTAGTAGTAGTAGTAGTAGTAGTAGTAAGTAGTAGTAGTAGTAGTAGTAGTAGTAGTAGTAGTAGTAGTAGTAGTAGTAGTAGTAGTAGTAGTAGTAGTAGTAGTAGTAGTAGTAGTAGTAGTAGAAGTAGTAGTAGTAGTAGTAGTAGTAGTAGTAGTAGTAGTAGTAGTAGTAGTAGTAGTAGTAGTAGTAGTAGTCGTCAGAGAAGTAGTAGGAGAAGTAGGAGAAGTAGGAGAAGTCGTATAAGTAGTAGCAGTAGCAGTAGCATGTCGTCCCGTCGTCATGTCGTGCGCAGAACTCCTGCAGCAGAACTTGCCCAAGGCGCACCACTTCGGAAACTCCCCAATTGGGTTTGCTTCCAGGATTCCGCCTCGCGCCGTCGCCCCTCGGCAAGCGAGCGCCGTGTTGTTGCCGGGGGCCACCGCCCAAATCCGGCCTGCGGGCAGAGCGACCGGCTCCCGCGACGTGTGCTCCCGGAGGGGCGTCGGGGGCCTGGGGGGACGGAGCCCGGAAGTGCAGCTTTATGATGGGCCTGTTTTCCACCACCACCACCATAAGTTGGAGGGGGAAGGAGGTGGAGGACAAGGTGGAGGAGGAGGAGGAGGAGGAGGGGGAGGAGGCGGAGGACGACGAAGAGGAGGAGGCGGAGGAGGAGGAGGACCCCCTCTCCCTCCAACTTATGGTGGTGGTGGTGGAAAACAGGCCCACCACTTTAGGCACCCCCGGAGTCGCGGAGAGAGCCGGGCTTCGCGCTCTGCGTATGTCTAGGGCTCCCAGATGGGGTCGGAGTCGACGGGGTCGGAAGATGGCGCCGCATCGTCGATGCATCGGCGATGCGGCCCGATGCGGAGCTCGATTTCCTCCACGTTGGCGTCACCGATGCACCGCCGACGTCGCCGATGCATCGTCGACGCATCGCCGATGCATCGGCGATGCGGCGCGGTCCTCCGACCCCGTCTACTCGGAGCCCACCTGGGAGGCCTCTAGCATCTGCGATGAATCGGCGATGCGGCGCGATCTTCCGACCCCTTCTACTCAGACCCAACTCGGGAGGCCTCTGGCTTTGGCGCAGCGCGAAGCCTGAGGTTTGGCGGCCCAGAGTCCGCCAGGCGTTACGGTCCGTGCGCCTCCAGTGCGGCACCGCGGCCCCCTGCCCAAACGTCGCGCTCGCGTGGTTGGGACCAGCGCCTCCCCAGGCAACCTCTGCGGCCCCGTCGCCAGGCAGAGCAGCCCGCCAGACGTCGGCTGTTCGCCGTTTTCCTATTCATTGTTTTGCCGATCGGCGCGGGCCCTCGCACCCTCGCAACCCCCCTCCCCCCCCCCATGGAGTAGATCGTGGCTGTTTTTGGCGCCTTTTGCAAGCAGGTGGGGTCTCTCCCACAGCACTGTGGCAAACAGTCGCATCAAGCAGAGGCCCGGAGCCAGACCCCCCCGGTCCCCCCCCCCTTCCGCCCAGTGTCGAAACGCCGAATGCGAAACCATTCACCTGGGCTCCACGGCCCGCGCTCCAGGGAGCCCGTGCTAGGAGTGCGCACCGCCCAGCCTCCGATCCAGGCCGATCTCCCACCCTCTCCTCCCCGAGGTTCCCTATACCCTCAATTGCCCAGGACTCCGAGACCTGAGACCCTCGCGAAGGATCGCGCCGTCGTGGAAAATCGCTACCGGGGGGCTACTGCCCTTTCTGCAGCATGTGCCGATCTGGACCGATCCGTGAGGGTCTGGGTCCCGAGTCGGGGCAGAGAGGCGTCCAGTGAAGACCAGTCCTGGCCTGTAACAAATTCTGTTCGGGCGCCAACACTTGTTGTGTGCTCCACTCGGGACAAGGGGGAGCGGAAGGTTGATGCTTGGCGACGGGCCCCGTTTCCATGCAGAACCGACGCGCTCCGTCGCCGAATGAGTGGGCATTGGCTTTATGTTGCGGGATGTCCGTTCCCCGATCTGGGTGCCAGATCCACGGATCCGTAATTCATGCTGGCGAGTGCCTGACCAGTCATGTGAACGCAACGGCGGCCGAATCTAAGGAGAGGCGCAGCAGGAGGAGGAGGAGGAGGAGGAGGAGGAGGAGGAGGAGGAGGAGGAGGAGGAGGATGGTAGTAGTGGTGGTAATGATGATGGCGGTGGTGGTGGTGACGCTGCTGCTGCTGATGATGATGAGGAGGAGGAGGAAAATGGTGCTGGTGGTGATAATGATCGTGATGATGGTCATGATGAGGAGAAGAAATGGGAGGACGGAGACATAATGATGATCAGGAGGAGGAGGAGGAGGAGGAAGAGGAGGAGGAGGCGGAGGAAGCGGGGGAGGGGGAGGGGAAAGGGGTGAGGGGGGAGGACAAGCTAGGTGCGCTCGCGTCATATCTGACATCCTACCCCTCCCTCCCATCCCTTACCATGGCGCAGATCCCCTCTCTACTCGCACAGTCGGATGTCGAGCAGGGCAATGATCCCGAAAGGGTACGCGATGCATTGTAGAGCACGGCATGGCATGGCGTAGAAGAGCACCGCAAAGCGTAGTATCAACCTAGTATTGCATTGCATGCCGTGGCATGGCACGGGAAATGACGCCAGCGCTGCAGCGGGAGCACGAGTCGAAACAAGCGGAAGCGCGGAAATAAGGCCAGCGCTGCAGCGGGAGCACGAGTCGGAACGAGCGGAAGCACGGAAATGAGGCCAGCGCTGCAGCGGGAGAACGATTCGTAACGATCGGGGCCCGAAAATGAGGCCGGCGCCTCAGCGAGAGCAGCATTTTGAAACAAATGCAGGCGAAAACCCAACTCCGGGGAAACCTGTGTGTAAAAAACAATACGCGGGGGGGGGGCCGGCAACCCCAGGCCGTCATCAGGGGAAGAGGGAGAGTAGTATTCATATTGAGCAGTTGTGGAGAAGGAAGAGGCCCTGTCTCTGGACGCTTTCGCTCGCGCCTGCCTGCCTCCCCACAGCCTCCAACTTGCGTGCGGGTGCCCGCTCGCGTGCGCGCGCGGGCAGGTGGACATCGACACGGTGCGTGACGAGGCCGCCGGAGATGGGGGGAGGGAGGGCCCTGCGCTCGCGCGGGTGTGTGTCGTGCGTTCTCCTCGCCATTCTCTTGGTCTTTCTTCCTCCTCGCACCTCGCTTTCGCACTCGCGCCTCGGCAAGGGGTGGGGCACAGGGGAGCCCGTGCGTGGGTGTGCGTGTGGCCACTTCCTTTGCCGGGTGCAGTTCGCGCCTCCATGCCCGCCGACTCGCCCTGCGCTGTCCCCCACCTGCAGTCTGCTGGTAACTCAGGCGGTAGTTTACGGCACGGCTGGGAGCTTTTGGATAGCGTGTCGCTTCGCCGGTTCTGGCCCACCACGCTTCGGCGCGACACGCTATCCACTTCCCAAGTCCAAGCGACAAATCCCCGAGCCTGTCCGAGCCTCCCGCCCCGCGGGGCGGAGCGACACGCTATCCGCCTGCAGGGGATTGCGTGTCGCCGGGGCCGCCGTCGCGGCACTCAAGCAAAAGTTCCGGACCGCAGTGCCCCTTGCTGCCACTCGCGAGGGTGCCGTCACCTCGCTAGAGGAGGAACAAGTGCGTGCGTGCGCGTCATCGCAAGTCCGCCGCCTGGTACGTTTTCTTCCAGCCGCGATCGGCGGGCTCTCTCTGGCATCTGTCTCGGGCGGCTTGCGCCTTCTTGGGCCTCCCCCAGCTCGTGGAGAGTGCTGAGGAGGCGCCTATGCGGGTTGTTGCCCTCACTGGTCTTTCGGCCCTTCTTGGGTGCGGCGTGCGTCTGTGCACTCACGCTGCCTTCTTGTTGCGCCTGGAGGCCTTTTCGTAATCCCCTGCAGATAACGGGCGTGACCAGATTCGAAGGGGGGAGAGGGCCCGTCTCGTCACGATTCGCGCCGTCGCCGTCTGGGAACGCTCAGGAGTGGCAGATTCCAACACGGCGCCGGCGCCGGCGCGAATCGTGACGTGACCGGGAGGGGAGGGGGGTGGGGGGCGGGGTCGGTCACGTGCGTTATTGCGAAAACTAGAACACGGAGTCCTCTCTCCTTCTCACTCCTCTCTCTCCCTCCTCCCTCTGGCTCCGCGGCCAGGTTGTTCGCTGTGCCTGGCGGGTTCGGTGCCCTGGCTGCGTCGCTGCGCTGCTTTGGCCACGCGCCCCGCGGCTTGCGATCAGTGGCCCTATCGAGCCGCCTTTCGCTGCCTCCAGCGCCTTCCTCGGCGGGAGGCCCCACTCGGGTTGCTCTACCTCCTTGGGCTTCCTTGCCCGCATCCTGCCCTGTGTGCACGTTTCATGTTTGCGCGCCTGTCCATGTACAGCCGGACCGAGGTATAAGATCGAGGTGGGTTCGGGGACGGTACCCTAATGTTCTTTATGTTTGTCGAACGTTTTCGTGCATCCCGGGGGAGGGACCCTCGAGCGATCTTATGGTTTGGGGTGTTTTGGCCGGCGGAGAGTCCCATGTCTTTGAAGGATGTTCTTTTGTCTTAGGTCCGACCGTACTTGCGATGCGCTCCTTGTGATGCCTGCGCGCATGCTTGGCCGCTGCATGTCTCTGCTTCGCCAGTCGTCGCCTGCCTCCTTACCCCAGCTATCACGTCTTTGTTTCGAGCGCATTCGACATACACTCGTCGCACATGTAAGCGCCAATCGTTGAAAGCAGGTATTTTTGCACGCCCAGATCCCAATCTATTTTAGGCGCCTCCCTATTTCACGAATCGATATGTTTTGCTGCGTGTTGTTATTCTCTGGGCGGGCCTGAGCCCAATCTACTTTATCCGCCATCCTACTTCATGTGTTGACCTACTTCTTCCGACCGACGTGTATGCGGGTTCCTTCCGTTATAGCATGGTATGTACGCGGTCGCATCACCACATTTCTTGACGAGAGGTAAATAAGCGTGACCGCAATGTTTTACAAGTGGCTCGAGCGTGGTCAACTGACGTTCCGTTGCAATTCACTTGTCGCGTCTCGTCAGTTTCATTCGGAGCTTCGTGACCTCGGTGGAGGAAGTGAGTCTGTGTGTGTGCGTCCAGAGGCTGCTTCAACGCTGCCGAATAGGTAACAGCTATTGTGTGTGTGTTGTTCTTGCCTCCTGTGCCTTCCATCACCGGTACTTCCTCTTGTTATGATTGTTGCTGCTGCCTCCTGCGTTTTCCCTCCTTCACTGTCTACGTTTTTGTAGCTCCCATGGCGTTCGGTCCTTCTGGGCGGGCTCGCACCAGCATCGCGCACGCCTGGTGGTGCTCACTCTGGAACACATGGAAAGCCTAATTGCTAAGGACTCGGCTGGGCCTGCGCGAAGTGTGCAGCTTAACTAGTACGTCGGCTGAGACAGTGTCGTCTGCACTCAGGACAGTGTGTGCACGTCCGTGTGTGCGCGATTCGGGGTGCGCGTTTGCGCGTTGTGTGGATAACCTTGGCCAGGGGAGTGGGGCGGCCTTGGGCTGACGGCCCTCTTGTATTCACGTAGCGGTCCATTGTGGAGTGAATGTGCGAGAAGGGTGAATTACCCGTCGGAGCAGGAAGGATAATGAAAAAATGAAGCAGGGGTGGAGACGGAGGAGGATGAGGATAGAGCGGCGGAGCCGTGAGGCTGAGGCGCAGGAAGAGGTGCTGAAAAGGATGAGTAGCACCATCAGGACCATCAGCAGCAGGCAGGCAAGGAAGCACACTAGGGGAACTGACGAGTTGCGGGGGGAGTGGATTGGGTCAGGGCGGATTTCTCCAAGTCCTCCTTCTCCCTCTCCGTCCCCTCCTCCCACGTCCCCCATTGACTCCTCTTGTTCTCCCTCTTCCATGACAGCGAGGAGGCAGATTCGTGGGTCCTCCTTCCAATTCTCCCCCTGCTCCTCCTCTTCCTCCGCCTCTCCCCTGCTGCTGGCAATGCAGGTTGGATAAGACTGCAGGTTGAAATGTCAGTGGAAGAGGGAGTTCTTTTCGGGAGTCGCCTTCGCCCGCAGGCGCCACCGAAGATTTTTCCTGCAATAGTTCCCTGGTGTCATCGCAGCCGGTCGTTTCCACTCGACATCGCGAGCTCCATGGAGAGCTTCGATATCAATTTCGCAAGATTCTGAGGACGATCGAGACTCTAGATCTGCAAGATCCTGGCGAATTCCTCACGCACTTTGCGAACAGTGTCTCGGAGTGTTCTTGGCGATCCTTGGCGAGGGGGGTCCGCGCAGGCCATCCCGCGGCTGGTGGCGGCACTGAAGAAGGCGCCTGGTGGCCGCTGGGCTCGGGCTCCTGCGCCCCCCCCCCGCTCCAGTCAGGACCAGTCAGGGTGCACTGGAGGGGAGAAGTTTTTTTACAGGAAGCCCTCCAACAACCCTCCTGAGGAAGGTGGTTGGACTGTTTTTGTCCCACACGTTTCGTGGGGTTATGGTTTTCTTCCCTGCCGCGTCGCACCCGCGTCTCACACCCGCACACCCACATACCCGCACACACCTCCCACACACACACACAGCACAGCACAGCACAGCACCGCACAGCACAGCACAGCACAGCACAGCACAGAACTGCTTAGCACAGCTCAGCACAGCTCAGCCCAGCTCAGCACAGCACAGCACAGCTCAGCTCAGCTCAGGGTGCGCACGGGGTGGTCCCTGAGCGCGGCCGCTATCCGTGACGGTCGTCCAGGGCACAGCAGGTGTTCCGTTTTCTCGACACCACAGGGAGTGCGCACGGGGTGGTCCCTGAGCGCGGCCGTTATCCGTGACGTTCATCCTTGCGGTATCGGCGGGGCAACGGCCACCAACATCATTCTCACATGCTTCACTTCAGCTATCATCACCCCAGCCGTAATATAAGCATGTGGGGTTCCTCGGTAGCGCAATTGAAGGCATGCCTCGAGAAGTGCTGGCTCCTCGCCGTCGGCGGATGGCCAGCGGAGGGCCCGCGGGGAGGGCCAGCGGAGGTGCAGAGCGAGGTCGTGCCTCCGCGGGCGGGAAGGCCCCGGCAGGAGGTCGGCGGACGCCGGCCGGCGGAGGAGCAGTTGCCGTCACTCGGGCTTCGCGCAATGGCTCGGCAGCGCTCGGACGTGTGCATTTTTCCTCGTCGAGGACCATCACCACCTACCAAACCACCCCAACCCAACCCGAAGGCCCAAATTTGCCCTCCATTTCCAGTGGGGGGGGGTCGGGGAACGTTGAGAAAACACATATGAAGCCCGTACCCCCCCCAACCCGAAAGTCGGGTCTTCGGGTTGGGTTGGGGTGGTCTGGTAGGTAGTCAGACCATTGCGGAGCATCTTGAATCACTGTCAGCAAAACTAACGCACGACACCGACAAACACACGGGAAACGGACGTCCCAGCGATGGCAAGATGGGGTGGCGAGAATTGGGAGGGCAGCGGGGGTTGCAGAACAAATGCCTTTTGGGGGCCCTGAATGTGCCCTTTGGGGCCCCACCGAGGGACTTGAGGGCCCGAGAAGTGTACCTTTCTCCCCCCCAACCCCCCGAGTTATCGCCCCCCACTTCTCCACGGGCCCCAGGACTGTCAGGTAGCGAGTCAGGGTGAAGCACTCGTTTTAGGGGAAGGCCCCAGGGTCCAGGACCCGTTTTTCACATGACCCGTTCCCCCATGCTACAATTGCGGTGATGGGGACTTCGTAATGGTCCTACATTAGTTGTATGCGTAGGCAATCGCGGGCAAATTTTTGGAAGGAATTTCATACTCTGTCAATTCAGAAATTCCTACATCGGAATCCCGTTTCTCTAGTTCTAGATCTCAGAGGACATGTTCATCGTGTATTTTGAGTGACGGCGGGTACGCGCGTATGGGCATAATTTCTACGCCACCGCCCACCAAACCACCCCAACTCTACCCGAAGGCCCCGATTTGCCCTTCATTTCCAGTGTGGGGGGGCGTCGGGAAACATTGAACAACCACATATGGAGTCCATATCCCCCCCCTACACAAACCCGAACTTCGGGCGAAATTCGCGTCTTCGGGTTGGGTTGGGGTGGTTTGGTAGGTAGTCACTACGCGAATCGAATGATCTTGTCAGTTGATTGCCTCCCGGATATCAGCTTGTTGCGGATTCTGGAGCGGGCGAGTTAGGGAACCACTTGGGCGCACGTCAGAGCCACCGTGGAGTTGTCTTTGGTGCCTTTTCGGCGCAATTGGGGCACTCTGAGGGCCTTTCTGAGACCCTTTGGGACCCTCCTGGTGGACACCTTATTTGCCATCGTCACAGGGAAGACGGGGCGCTTGATCAGAGGATGCTGTTTGTAACAGACGAATTTGCCTCTCGGGCCCGCCTTAGAATCTACTGGGATGTTGTCGGGGGGCGGTTGGGCTGGGGCGCCCTCGTGTCGATGCTACTCAGGACGTGTGTTAGCCCAATATGTGTTCACCCAGTTCAGTTCTACCGATCGCGCGCAGCCTATGCTGGCCCCCGCTGCACCGCCTGCGTCGCGATGTTAACACAGGCGAACGGCACTTGGTGGCCAATTATTTGTTTGACGGCCTTGGTCTCTTGGGGGCATGCCTGGGAGTCTCCAGTGCCACCTCGGGTCGTCATGTGAGGCCCATTCGGGGCCTCCCGATGTTATGCTGAAGGCCAGCTTGAAACAAGCAGAACCATCTTGCGCGATCCTGGAGGCCATCTTGGGCTATCTGTGACCTGCGGCCATCTTGGAGCCACCTGGGATCCAGAGGGATCCTCTGAGACCTCGCGGCCCTCCAGACCCCCAGGGGATGGGGTACTCCAGACAGACCCCCAAGGTCGGGAACTTTTGGTAAGCGTGTCGGTGCACCAGTTCTGGCCCACCACGCTTCGGGGCGACACGGCTACCCGCGTCCCAGTCCCCAAGCCTTTCCAATCCTCCCGCCCGGCGGAGCGGAGCGACACGCTATCCGCTCGCAAGGCATAGCGTGTGGCGCCGGGGCCGCCGCCGCGACGCGCTCGACCGTAGGCCTGCGGAGAAGGACCCGAAGCGGCGGCGAGCCTGGGGCGAGGCGCGCCCGCGCCGCAGCGCCTGGTGCACATAGGACCCTCCCCCTCGCGGCGGCCCGCAGCTGCCGCGCTGCAGGCGCGCCGAGCCGCCGTGCCACTGCGGGGGGCGCGCGCCGGCGATGGCGGCGCCTGGCTGGCGCGGCTCCGGCAGGCCCAGCGTCCGCGACGCGTCCAGGTGGCGCGGGCAAGGTTTATGGCCATGCCCACTGCGTCTTGTACTCTCTGGGAGGGGGCGCCAAAGGGCCGAGGCGCAGTAGATCCGGATAAGAATCTAGCCTCTATGAGCCGGATCTTTATGCATGTCCACTGCGATTTCGGTTTCTGGGGCAGGGCGCCCGAAACTTGAGAGGACGCAGTACATCCTAATACAAGTCTTGCTCGCAGGTGGTGCATCAAGTCCCAGACCTTGGAGCAGCAGCTGCGTGCGTGCGAGAAGTCGCTCGCCGCGGCGAGGCGCTCGGGCCGCGAGAGCGTCGCGCAGAGCCTGGAGACCAAGCTGGCCGACCTGAAGCGGCGGGCCGGAGCCGCTGATGCCGAGACGGCACCGGCTGCCGGGCGGCCCAGGGGCGAGCCAGGGACGGCCTTGCGCTCGAAGGCTGCCAGCGAGAGGGCCGCCAGGAAGTCGAAGGGGTCCGAGGTTGCCAGAGAGAGGGGTGCCAGGAAGCCGAAAAGATCCGAGGCTGCCAGAAAGCCGAAGAGATCCGAGGAGATTGACGGGGACGGGTCGCGCGTGGAGCGGCCTGGCGCTGGCGACCACCAGAGCAGGCCACGAAGGCAGCGAGATCGCGTCGCGGAGCCACGCCGCGAGGGCTCCGACGGCTCCGACTTCTTCGACGAGGCGTCCGCGGCGCCGGTGGCCCCGGCTCGCGTCGCGGAGCTCTGCCGCGAGGGCTCCGACGGCTCCGACTTCTTCGACGAGGCGTCCGCGGCGCCGGTGCCCCTCGCGCCTGCAGCGCTCACGCCCGCGACCCCCGCGGCCGCCGCAGCCGGAGCAGGCGCGCTGGACGGCCCGCGCGGCGAGCGGCCGCCGTCCAAGAGGGCGCGCCGCAGGGAGCGGCGGCTCCAGCTGCAGGCCTTCAAGCAGGACCCTGGCAGGGCTTTCGGGGCGTGAGCGGGCAGCCCGCGGAGGTGGTTCCCCGGCCAGCATCAGCAGGCCCCCCAAGCGTGCGTGGTCGGGGGCGGCTTCGACCCCCTTCCCCCAAGGCACGGGGCACTCCGCGCCCCCGGGGGGTCGCCGGATGCACCTGCGGGGTGCCGAGGCCGCGCCGTCTGCCCTGTCGGGGGCCACGGCTGAGGGCGCCTGGGCCAACCTCCTGGCGGACTGCCCCTTCTTAGCCTTGGTGTGCCTCGCCCCCCTCGGCCCCCATCTTCTGGGCTTCCCGCTCGGCCGGCGCCGCCGGCGCAGCGGCCGCGGCCTGCGGCGGCGGCGGCCGCTGCGGCGGCGGCACCTGCCGCGCGGAGTTTCAGATGAAGAGGAATCGACACCGCTGCTCGTCCTGGAGAGCCCCCGTCGCAAGGGCCGGATTCTCCTCGCAACCCTGGCCAGAGCGCACCCTCTGGGAGAGGCTCGGGGCGTCGCGAGATATCGGTATACCTCCTTGCTTCTGCAGAGCTCCGCAGGGTGGAGGCCGAGGGCAAGCATCGACCACACGTAAGAGTGACCCTGTGCCGGAGTGATCTCTGCCGCGCGGTTTTTCGAGGGGCGGTCGAGGAGGAGAGGTGCAAGCCCACAACACGCGGGCTGCCACTGTCGCATCGTGCGTAGCGATCGGCAAGCCGCGCACCAAAGGTCCCTCTTGCCCGCCGCTGGGGTCCCCCGATCGCTATGTGCGCTGCGGGAGAGGCGGCTGGCGCGCTTGTGTTTGGCCCCCGCCCCCGCCCCCTCAAAGCCGCGCGCTAGAGGTCCCCTCTTGCCCAGGTCCTCGGCGAGCCCGGGGGGGAAGTGAGAAGGGGCGGGCCGTCTCAGCAGGCTCGGGAGTCCCGCGGCCTCCCGAGACGTCTTCTGAGCCCTCCCCCGAGACTCCGAACACCTCTCAGAGGGCCGGAGCGCTCCTGAGGAGCCCCGCCGCCTTCTGAGAGGGCCTCCGCCCTCATGGCTTCCCCCCCCCGTCGCTCGCCGCCGGCCAGGGCCACTCCTGCGCGTAGCCGAGCGCAGGACTGGCACCCTTCCTGGCGGGCGGCCCGCGCCCCCCGGGTCAGCGGCGCGATCCCGCGCCGGGCCGCCGCCGGGACGTGGACGCGCCTCGGCGGCGGTTCGCCGAGGGGGCCGAAGCGTCGACGGCGGCCCGCGGGGGAGGACGGCTGCGTGCCCGCGCGCCGCCGTGATCCGCCTCTCTCTTCCTCCGTGCTGCACGATATTTGTCTGTGTATATGTACAGATATATACACAAGCATGTATACGTCTAGGCTGAGATAATAAACAGGCACGGGGTCCCGGGCCCCCCAAAGTGCACTGATTCACACGTCAAGCGGGGCCGAGATACGCCCAAGAGGGCGCCAAGATGGCTCAAGAGCGCTCCAAGAGAGCCCAAGACCGCACAAGAGCGTTTCAAAATGGGTCCAGCATGGATGAAGACAGCCCAAGAGGGCTTCAAGACGGCCAATATGCCCTCAAAAGGACTCCCACGAGGCACTCAGAAGGCGAAAAAGTAGTTTTTTAAACATGGTTTTGGGAGGTTTTTTCGTGTTCTCGCTGTTTCGTGCTTCTGGCGGTCCAAGGCTGTCCACGAGGGACTAGAAATCACGTCAAGACGGCCCAAGAGGCACCCAAAGAGGGCGCCACAACGGTGCAAGGGGGCCCCAAGACGGCCCAATAATGCCCCAACACGGCCCAAGAGGCGCCCAAGATCGCCCAAGAGGGCCCCAAGACGGCCCCAAGAGGGGGAACACGGACCGACAATTCGAGCCTTCCGCCCCAAGAGGCCCCTAAGAGGCCTCAAGAGGTCCCCAAGAGAGCCCACGAGGCCCCTTAGAGGCCCCCTAGAGGCCCCAAAGAGGCCCAAAAAGAAGCCCCATGAGCACCCAAACGGCCCCCAAGGGCCTCCAAAACATACCAGTGCATAGCAAAGCACCGCCTAGCCTATCGTGGCATCGCAACGTTGCAGGACTTGACATGGCACGGCACAGCACGAGAGGGCTAACCGTGTCAGTGCATATCACAGTATTGTTAAGTATGCCATAGCACTGCATTCCATAGAAGTTTCTAGCTGAGCCTAGCACTGCACGTCATGGCATGACATTGCCTAGCATGGCATTGCATCTCATGATACATCGTGGCGTACTATGGCATTCCAATGCGCATGCGTTAATCGAACAGCACAGCACTGCTCTGCGCAACAGTAAACAGAAACCAGGCGAATATCATAATCCCGTTGTTGCTCTTATTACCGTCCTGTTTAGTTTATCTAGCAGCGCAGATCTTGGCATAGCATTGCATTGCATTGCATAGCCGAGCATGCCGTGTCTGTGCATACCATGTAACGCGGTAGCATCCCTCTTCGTAGGCAACATCGCATGCTATGGCTCAGCGTATCATCCCATATCTTATCATCGCATTTCACAGCACAGCATGGCATGGCATGCAATGCGCACTGCAGAGTATGTCATGTGATTGCAAGTGCTCCTGCATTGTGACATTGCGCTTTTCAGAGTCGCATGGTGTATCACGGCATCTCCACAGCATAGTGCAATAATACAACATGGCGCTGTAGCGCTGCATTTTATCCTGGCCCATAGCTTGGCGACATATCTCCGGTCGATTGGTCGATGAGAGCAGAGGAGGAGGAGGAACGAGGAACGAGGCAGAGGAAGGAGGACACATAGAATGTTGACCTCATTATTCAGGACTACTTTGTTGTATCAGTGCGGTCAGCACTCGACCAGCTAGAACCTAAGCGCGCGCAAAGCGCGCGATTGTTCGTGTATCTATACATCTATGTATATATATGTGTATATAGATGTAGGAAATTGCGTGTACCGTTTTATGCGAAATATATACGCGCACATCGATGTATGTGTATATAGGCACAGAAACAAACATTACATATCCTTATAGATGTATATATTTCGTATTATAGCAATGAGTACCATTGCTAGGCCTGGCCAGGGAGCTTGTGTCTGGAACGCCCTGGGAGGGCCCAGCCCAAGACTGCCCCGGAGGGCCCCAGGAGGCCTCAGGAGGGACCTACGAGCGCCCCCAGACAGCCACGATGGGCCCGAGATGGCCCAAGATGGGCGCTCGATGGCCCAGTGGGCTCCCCAGATAGCCCACTGGGGTCCGAAGACGACTCCCAAGAGGCAAACATTATATGTTGTCGTAAGGTTTAGGTGAAATTTTCCTATGCTCGCCTTCTCGGTCTCCAGAGCGCCCAAGACGGCCGAAGAGGCCCCCGAGATCGCTCCAAGATGGCCCTACAGGGCACGAGGAGCCCAGGACGGCCCGAGCGGGGCCCAAGACGGCCCCAATACTCGCCAAGAAGGCCTCCGGAGGGGCTCCAGGCGGCCCAAGAGGGCCCAAAGACAGCCCAATTGGAACCCCAGACCGACCCAGAACAGCCCCGAGAGGCCCCAGAGATGGCCCTGAGAGACCCAGACGGCCCCAGAAGGCTCCAAGACGTCTCAGGAGGCTCCCAAGACGGCCTGACAACGGCCTCAAAAGACCCCGAGGAGTGACCACTCGGGACCCTGCATTAGTACGGCGACGGTTCGAACATCGATGTACAATTTGTATATATATGTATAATTCTTACATTTTTATTACCCGGACCAGCCCCCCTCCCCCCCAGGGACGCCCCGGACGCCCTTTCGGACTTTTCGGCGGCCCCCTGGACGCCCTTGGCAAAGGTTCGCTGGCCCTTCCGGGCCTCCCAGAGCGCCTTGCCAGGCCTTGCGAGTAGACTCAAGGCGATCAGAGGGGTAAGCGGAGAGACGCAAGATAGACCCAAGACAGCACAAGAGCGCTCCAAAAGGAACCTCGATGGTCTGAAGTCGGCCCAAGAGGCCCCCGACAGCCCCAAGAGGCCGTTAAGAGAGCCCCGAAGAAGCAAACATCGTCCTTGTCTCTGAGGAAAATGTATGTGTTTAGCGTATCCGCATTTGAGGTATTCGCAGCGTCCAGGACGGCCCGATGGGCCCCCGATATCGCCCCAGGACGGCCCAAGAGGCCCCCCAGAGGGTTTCAAGACGGCCCAAGGGGGCCCCAAGTTTGCCCCAGAGAGCCCCGAGACTGCCCACAAGAAGCCCAATATGCCCCCAGAAGGCCTCCAAGAGAGACCCACGAAAGCCAATGGAGACCCTTAAGAAAGTCATTGGAGGCCCCTAGGAGGGCCCTAGATGGTTTCAGAAGACCTCTGGGGGGCCCCAGCTCCCCAAGACGGCCCAAGAAGGCCCCAGGACGGCCCAAAAGAGTTAAAAAAACGCCCAGACGGCGTTCTCCGTGCGCTCGTTGCGCTTACGCCAGCCCGCCTGTTTTTCCCGTACCTCTACCACCCTCTCTCTCTATCTCTCTCCCTTCCCCCCCCCTCTGCCTTCTTCGTCGACCGATGGCCATTCTCGTTCGCCCGCTCCTTCCTCTGGACCTTCTCCCCAGTTCTCCCCCCCTCTCCACCCTTGCGCCTCTTCAGCCCCCCCCCCCTCATCCCTGCTCCCTTCCCTCTCCCCCTTCATGGACAGATGCCATCGCAGCAGTTCGATGCTTCGTCGTTTGCCAGCACCTTCGCGCGTGCAAACGCATCATTGCTTCCACTCCTGCGCACAAGCGTGCAAGCGCATCGGGCGAACGCGGTGTCAGCAGGCACCAGAAAAAATGAACCTGTCGCCCGCCCAGGCTTCGAGGTCCCCTCTGCTACAGCAAACGATGATTCATTGCTTTGCTGGGGAAGCGTCCGGGACAAGGCGCATGGCGCGAAACGCCACTGCAGTCTCGTATAGGTATATGTATATACATAAACACACACACACGCGATTTTACCATCTCGCTCCGCTTCGTCTTTGAGACCTTGGTCGCGTGGCACCAGCCAGGCGAGCCGCGAGCCTTCTAGGAACGATCTTGAGGGTTTAGGGCCGTCTAGGAGCGTCGGGAAGCCGAAACAGCGAGGACGGCAAAAACCTTGCAACACCAACGGGGGGTATATGATGTTGGCCTCTTTGGGCCCTCCTTCGAGGCCTCTTGCAGACATCTTTGAGCGTCTCGGAGAGATCGTTCGGCGATACGGGACCCTCATGGATCGTCATCGGTGCCTTTTGGGACTTTATTGGCCCGTTTTGGGGCATTCTTGGGCCCGGGAAAGTCACGCGGGGAGATGCGGGAAACCCCCGACAAACCGCGACAAACACAATAAGATTAGTGAATTCCGGGTACGGGCCCATTCAGAACCGTCAGGATTGAAGATTGAGGATCATGAGATGAAGCAGTGGATCTGATGACACGCCCATTCCGTGCCCAGAGGCACGGAGGCGCATGAGTTATTATCACTCATGTTCTTATAAATGCATATTGCGGAAAGAAGGGAACCCACAGAGCTTCCACGCCACGCCACGGCATGGGATCCTTAAAACACATAAAACGGGGACCTACGATATTTCCTCATCCTGTGAGGGGGAGGGGAAGGAAGGAGGAGGAGGAGGAAGGGGAGGAAGGAGGAGGAGGGAGGGAGGGGGCGTCTTCCTCCTCTTCCTCCCTCCTCCTCCATCCCCCTCCTTCCTCCTCCTTCCCCCTCCTCCTCCCTCGTCCTCTTCCGCATCAACACGCACGATGGGATACAGTGGGATCCACGGCTTTTTCCTGCCACAGGAGAGCCTTCGGCCATGGGGTGTGATATGGCTACCCTTCCCGCTCGTGCCCCTCCCAGGCGCTGCCGCCCAATGTGCTTTTCTTCCGCCGTCCTCCTCCTCCTCCTCCTCCTCCTCCTCGTCCTCCTCCTCTTCCTCCTCCTCCTCCAACGGGCTGCAGCCCTCTCGAGCAGAAGCTCGACGGGCAGACTCAGTCTTGACCCCACGGCCCCCATACACATTGTTGGCGAGACGCACGGCGTTCGGCGGCTCCCGTGTCGGCAATGGAGGGGGGGGGAAGGTGTCGACCTGAAACGATATTTTGGCGATTTCGTCCGTTTCGTTTTGCAGCAAAGCTGGGCTGAAGACGAAACGAGGGACAGCGGAAACACAACGAAAAAACGAGAACACTGCCCAGGGCGATCCCCAATGGGGGGGCTCTGCCGCGCTCCGTGGGCGGTCGTCTCCTCCTCCTCCTCCTCCTCCTCCTCCTCCTCCTCCTCCTTCTCCTCCTCCTCCTCCTCCTCCTCCTCCTCCTCCTCCTCCGCCCCTGGGATGGCCCCTGGGAGGCCCCACGACGGCGCCTGCGTGTCCCCAGGGCGACCCCGTGATTCCAGGACGATCCCCAGGTGGCATTGCCCAAAGACCCCCAGACGACTGGATCACCCGCGGGCGCGCCAGTACACACCGGTCGCTGAACGTATGTATGTCTGGATCCTCAGGCTCCAATCTACTTTAGGCGCCTTCCTAACCCGCATGATGAGGATGAGCAACTTTCCCAACGTTACCCTTGCATCGTTCCCCTTCGGCCCACCCTGGGCCGCTTTCATTGTGGCCGTGCCCCGCTCGTAAAGTGTCAGCATGGTCTTCCACTGCTCTTGCATCCTGATCGTGCCATACTATACAGGTTGATTGTACTTCAAGAATCAGAATCGAGCGCTTTCACCGTTTCCTTCCTCTTCGGGGGGCGGGCGGAAGCCGAATCTACTTCCAACGCGTTCCTACTTCATGCTTATATAGAAATGTTTTGTAAGACAAGCTTAAACTATCATAGCAACACATCAAACATGTGTAATACATCTTTATAGACAAACCACGCTTCGTGCATCACCGTTCGGGCTAGCGCGGTTGATCTTCTCCCAGGAGGGCGCGAGGGCACGAGGGCGCGAAGAGAATCGCGCATCGCTGGGCGCGGTGCTCGACGCGCTTGACGCTGGTCGCTGAGAGTAGGCACGTCTGGATTTCCAGAACCCAATATACTTTAGGCGCCTTCCTACTTCAATCGGCTAGCGTGTTTCCCTCTGCCCTCCTCTTCAGGGGGCGGGCGAAAGCCTTACTTCCAACGCCTTCCTACTTCATGTTTCTACCCACTTCTTCCGACCGACGGGTAGGTGACCCAGGACGACCTCAAGGCGACCCAAGGATGGCCCTTACGGGAACCGAGGGGCCCATCGATCACGCCCTCCGTAGTCGTTCTGGCTCGAGCGTTCTGGCTTGGGCTCCGTGAAGGCAGCCCCTCTCCACGGCAACAAAACCTTTCGGCATGAGCCGGCGCAGGTCTTCCCTGGGGGATGGGCTGTTGCGGCGGGCTTCCGAGGCGCGCCCTGCCCAGCGGGCGCTGCGGGGTCTGCTTGCTGGCCCTGGGGGCCGTGCAGATGTCCTACCTCCTGGCCCCCTCCTTCCTGCCCGAGCAGCTGCTGGCGGAGGATCAGGAGGGGACAACGATGTCGAGTGACCTTCGGCCCATCCCGCCACCGTGCCTGGGTTGCGGGTGTGAAGTCTAGTGGCTATTCGGTGGGATCTCGTGGGGGGCCTCTCGGGGGCCTCTCGGAGGCAGTTTTGAGGCTTCTTGCCTTTCTGGAGCTTCTTTTGGCCCCTTGGGAGCCTATTGGGGCCTCTCGGGAGCCTCTTGGGGCTCTTGGGCGCCTCTTGGGGCCTGCTGGGGGCCTCTTGAAGCGGAAGGCTCGGATTCTCTGTTCGTGCTCCCTCTCTTGGGCCCCTATTGAGGCCGTCTTGAGCACCTCTTGGGCTGACTTGGGGCGCTCTTATGCCGTCTTGGGGCTCTCTTGGGGAGCTCTTGGGCCGTCTTGGGGTGGTTTTGTGGGCCCTTTTGGGCTGTCTTCGAGCGTCGGAAAGCCGAAAAGGCGAGAACGCCAAAATCCTTCAATTTGCCATCTTGAGACCACCTTGGGCGTCTTGGAGCGATTGCTCGGCCACTCGGGGCCCTCTTGGACTCATGGGAGGGTTCTGGAGGTTGCTTCGGGGTGGCATAGCGTCCACCGATGGCGCTTCAGAACTCAAGGGAGCCAGCCCAGAAAGGCCTGGGAGACAATTGCCTGGAAACCGAGTGAATATGAGCAAGTTTTCGGAATGCTTGGATTAGTTTAGATTTGCTTGAGGCGTTCCAGAAGGGGCCTCGCCTTCGAGGGTCGAAGGAGTTGGAATCTCTTCCTCTTCGGAAGGGCGGCGGAAGCCGGCGGAAGTAAAACGATGCCGCCTCCGCTGGCGGAGGCTGGCGGAAGCCGGCGGAAGTAAGAACTGCGCCCCCGAGAGACGGCAATCATTTTGGGTTCACCGCTTATACGGAATCGGCCTCTCCCTCTGCTGATTCTGTGCATCTTAGTTCCCGCGGCATCCTGTCCCCACGTGCAGCTTTTTGCCCGACACGCGCTGTGGCGTGCGCCCGTGTGGCAAGTACTGCACATAGCCCGCTTCGAGCTTCTCTCTCCTTCACGCTGCCGCGTCATTGTGCTGCACTCTGGTGGCAACCGCGCAGGAGCATGAGGAGGAGGAGGAGGAGGAGGAGGAGGACAGGATGAGGGTGCCTCTTTTTGCTCTCTGCTGGGGGCCCCTTTCGAGGAGACCCCCGTCCCCAGCGGCCCGGGCGAGGCGGCCGCCGCGGCGCCGCCGCCAGGCGGCGCGGCGGCCCCTGAGGGCGCCGCCGGCAGCGCGCTGCCGGCAGACGCCGCGCCAGAGGCTCGGAGAAGGAAAAGGGGGCACCGACAATCATCGAAGAAGTAATAACGCCATGGACCTAAACTTTTGGCGCTCCGCGCGGATCTCTTGGGTTTGCGCTGGAGCCCCCCCCCCCGGGGGCGCCTCCGGCGCCGCGGGCCCAGCGCAGATCTAAGAAATCCGTGCGAAGCGCCATCATTTTATACTCATGCGTTTCTTCTGCTGTCAATCAGGGGCAACGATAGGGGGGGATGGCCTAGGGAGGTGCATCGACCACCCATCGTCCACTCCTCGCCGAGGGGGGCCCCATAGCCCCACTCCGCCTATGCCAGTCCCCTCCTCGTCGTTGCCCCTCGGATAACGTCGACTGCACGTAAGAGTGACCCTTCGCTGGACTGACCTTTGGTGCGGGCCCACAGGGGCCCCCCCGGCATTGGCCTGCGTGCTGTGACTTCGCCCCCCGCGGCCCCCGACAGCCGCGCAGTCGAAGGTCACTCCTGCCGAAGGTCAGTCTTGCGTGTAGTCGGCACCGCTGCAGTCGAAACATATGGTAAGGCTGGGAAAGTGCCTACTCGTAAACGTCCGAAACACACATGCTTGCCTCGATGCGACGGATCGTAGATCCCCCGCGGCGGGTCGAGGCCAGTTGCTAATAGTTACGACGCGAGTAGTGGAACGCGCTTGCTTTTACCCTGCCTTGAGATCCTGGTGTCGCAAGTTTTCGAGCCGGGCGCTTTCTCGTATTGTCGAGTCCTGGGGCCCTCACCTATATGGCTCGAAAAATATTGGAAAACATCGTGTTTGGGCCTCCGTTCGTTGCGTCGTTGGATCTCAGGGTGGCTTCGTTTTCGCTTGTTTGGGCCTCCCAGGAGGCCCTCGTGGCCACCGCTGGATTCGCCTCGAAATCTTGGCACCCTGGGAGAAGTGCGGGGATTCGAGGGTGGCTATCGGGGAACACAACATTTCATAAACGTAGACTTTCGGAGGTCCCCGCGGAGTTCTTGGGTCGGCGCCTGGGACCTCCTGGCGGCGCCTCCGGAGCCGCCCCTGGCGCGCGGAGCGCGCCAGGGAGAGGGGTCCAGCGCCGATCCAAGAAATCCGCGCGGAGTTACGAAAGTTTCTGCTGATGCTTCTCTTCCTTCCTTTATACAGTCGAAACTGATGTCAAGGGTGGGTGACTTTTCCAAGGCTGCCCTTGCATCCTTGCCTCCTCGGTCCATCCTTAACCCCTTTCGATCGCCAGCCCCGCTCGAAAAGCTTCGGCATTGGCGTCCAAGGCCATTGCATCAGTTTCGCGCATCCCAGACCCTCGACGTCATATTTTCTTCAGAACGTCGACGCCCAGAGGTCTCGACACACTCCCCGGGACCGGTTTTCCATCCACGGTCGTGTCGTGATGAAGCGATCCCGAGGCCTGGAAGGCCCCCTCACAGAGGCTGGCAACAGCGAAAAACCTTCCATCGTGATTATGTCATGGGTCGAGAGGGTCTGGGATCTTTCCTGTCAGTTCTGACTGTAGGTTCGGGTGGGGGATCGATTCACCCCAGAATTGACTTCCTCGTCGAGTCATGCGTAGAATGTTCGTAGATCCACGAACAGGCTACGCATGTCTCATGGATTCGACGATCAAATCAGTTGTGGGGCACCTCAACTCTGTCGTCCCCCCCCAGCCCCATAGGTGGCCCACACCGTGTTCCGGGGCGTGGCGCTGCTGGTGCACTGCCGGGCCTCGGCGGAGGTGTGCGGGCTGCGCGCGCCCCTCCTCGATGGCTACAGGTGAGGAGCCGACTGTCCACCGCCGCTACCACAGGGAGGAGGAGGGAGGAGGAGGGAGGAGGAGGAGGAGGAGGAGGAAGGAGGAGGAGGAGGAGGAGGAGGAGGAGGAGGAGGAGAATCTCCCTATTCTCCCTTCGCCCCCCGTGTGGCGGAAAAGTGGCCCATCAATAGGCGCTTCTTCTCCACGGTGCGGCACATGCTGCCGAAGAAGCTCGGGTCGGGCGACAGTGGTGGACAGGGACAGGGAGGATCGGAGACGGCAGGCTCTTGCCGCTCAGACGAGGGAGAAGGCACCCCTTACCGCTGCCTTTCGCCCGGTTTCCCTCTTTGGGGGCCTCCTGGGGGGCCCTCGTCGCCACCACTGCGCTTGCCTCGAAATTCTGGTCAGAACGCATCCCGGGAGAGGTCCGGGGAGTCGCGGTCTCGGATTTCTTGGTTTCACCCAGGGAGGTCCGGCGACGGCAGGCTCCTGTCGCATCGACGTGGAGGCGACCCCGCCGCGGTCCCCGCCGCCAGTGCCCCGGACTCGGCCAACGTGGAAGGGTTCTGTCTGGCGATCGGAAGGCCAACGATATCGCTCCAGGGGTTGAGCGACACACGTGGGCGACGCAGGAAAACGGGGTCGCCTGCGCCGGCATTGGCGCGTAAGCTGCGGCCGCGTCAGCTCGCGCGTAAGCGCCCTCGTCTCCACTGTGGCGTGCCGCGCTGGCGCCCTCGCGCTCTCGTAAGTCCCGCTTCTTCTCGCCGCTCGCGTGGTTTCAGACACCAGCGCCCGGGTCGCCACGGCGGGAGCCTGCCGCACGAAGTCTGGCACCTGCCGCGCGCAGCTGGCTGCGGCCCCGCCGCTGGGCATCTTCCCTCGGCATCTCCGCGAGCGCCTCCCGGCTCTGGGAAGATTGTGTCTGGCGCCGGGAGGCGACAGCGCACGGAGGGAAGGCCCTTCGCTGGCCTTTCCCGCGGGGGGGGGGCCAGCGGAATGCGGCGGCGGGTTCGCCGGGTGCCCAGGAGCCCCCCCTGCGCTGCCCGCCCCCTCGCGGCCGACCCGGGGAGCAGGGGCAGGCGCCTCCCGAGTGGGCCACGGACCTGTGCGCCAGCGGCCTGGGCGATCCGTTCGTGTGCGTGGCCCAGGTGCTGAGGAGTCCCGAGGCAGCGTCGTGGACGGGCCTGCTGTACATGCACTTCGACGCGGTTCTGTCTCCGTGCGTCATGAACAGGACCTTCGAGGTGAACAAGCTCGGGGTCTTCAACTTCAAGAAGCTGTACATGACCAGCGTCGAGTTTTTCGAGGGCTGCAATTGCTACAACGAAACGGAGGGCAAGTGCAAACCCAAGAAGAAGTGTCATTGGCACCACTGGCATAACTATCACAAGGTAGAGTGGTCGACCGCGCTGGCGCAAGTTCATGAGGCGTTTCCAGCGACGACCTTTGACTTCAACGACACGGACATTTGGAAGATGGACGACGATAGTCAAGAGGCTTACTCAATTCCGCCGACCGCCAGACGAGGCTATCTGCGGCTTCCGATTTCGTATGCAGTATGTGTTTGTTGCTGCTTTCCGCTGTGCTGATTGCGTGCAGTTGCTGCTGCTGCTGTATCCTCCTCTTCCTCCGCGTCCGATGCGGGGCTTCTTGGGGGCTTCTCGGAGGCCTCCCGGCTCCCGGGCGGCCTCGTTGGCGGCTTTTCAGGGCTACTGGGGGCCCTCTCAGGGCTTTGGCGGGCCTCTTGAGGGCATGTTGGGGGACTTGGGGGCCATCCTATGGAGAAGGGTTCCCGGGGACTCTGCGAATTCCTCCTCCTGGGCATCTTGGCATCTCTTGGGGTTCTCGTGAAGGTCTTCGTGGCCGCCCTGGGGCATTGTTGGGTCGTCTCTGGGCCTTCTTGGGGACTTCTTGGGACGTCATGGCCCTGTCCTGGGGGGCCTCGTTGGCCGCCTAGGGTATGCAGAAGCCCTCAAGGGCGAGGATGCCAAACTATTCGAACTAGATTTTCGCGCGCGCTTCGCGCGTGCCTGGGTTCTAGCGCAGTCCATGGCGCTATGATGAAACGCGGGTGAGCCAGTCCCGGGTCTCTTCGGGAGCTCACCCCGTCTTCCTGGCCCGGATCGTCCCGAGCGCTCGCCTGGGGCTGGATTCATTGCTCTGGAAAGCAGCCGGATGGAGGAAGGGAGGGGAGGGATCGAGGATCGAGGGGGGTTTGAGACGTGGTTCCATGTGGGCTCTTGGGAAGCCTCCAGGACCCTCTTGGAAGCCTTTTCGGGCTTCCTGGGGGCCTCTGGGGTACCTTAGGGCGTACTGTGCCTCTGGGGGGCCTCTCTGGGGGCCCTCTTGGCGCGTCTTGAGTCCTCTTTGGGCCTCTTGGGCCGTCTCGGGGACCTCCTGGGTCGTCTTGGGGAAATCTTGAACTGTCCTAGGAGCCAGCGCCGGGGCAGCCGCGACCCTCCAGATTCGCTCAGCGTGTCGTCATACAGCCTTGGACGACGACATGGACGGGGCCTTGGTCGGCGTACTCCTTCGAATCATCCTCATCATTCGCCTCAGCGTCAACATTATCCTCCTTGGACTACTGATCCTACTCCTTGTCGAGAATTTGTAGCTGCGAAGTGACAGGGTTTGAGCACGGTCTCAGAAGTATTCGAACTGATTCTTGGTGGTCAAACAGGATGGAGCATAAACAAATTGATGCTACGAACCAGCGCCGGGGGAGTTGTGACCCCCCAGATTCGCCCATACGTGCAACATGTGCACCAGTATCGGACTCCAAAATGCCAGTCGGGAGCGTCTTAGAATCAGTTTGGAGCGTCTTGGGGTCTCTCGGGAGCCTCTTTGGAATCCACTGTGGGCCTCCCAGGAGCCTCTTGTGGGCCTCTTTGGGCCTCTTGGGTGCCTTGGGGGGTCCTGTTGGCGGTCTCGGTAGTCATCTGAGGGTTGATGGCTTGACAGGTCAGTGCGTGTTTCCCCTCTTTGGGGGTTCCTGTGGAGTCTTCTTGGGCCGTCTTGGTGGCTTCTTGGGCCCGACTGGGGCCCTCTTGGGCCATCCTGGGGCCCTCTTGGGAGCCCCTGTTCGCCTCTTGGGCCGTGTTGGGGCCTATGGGGTCGTCTTGGACGGAGTGAAGACCAAAAAAGCGAATCTGCCAAAACTCTACGTCTCCCAGGGTGGATGGAACGCTTTGTCCCCCTCGGGGCCTTTTATTTTGGTGCCATCTTGCGGCCCTCTTCAGCGATTTTGGGTGCCTCCTGGGCCGTTTGAGACGCTTCTTGGATTGTCTGAGCCCTCCATGCCGTATTGAATCGCCTTGACGGCGGTCTGATTCCCCTAGGGGACGACAGGCCTTACCCCTCCCTGGGGCTGGTGATCGTTTTTTTCCCTCCCCGGCGTAACGCTCCCCCCCCCCTTGGTAACGCTAAAGATCGTGCTGGGGGGGGGTGCTGGGCCCCCCCCCTACATGCTGGGAGCGGACCCCCCGCAGGTATGGCGCTGTGCTCACAGCAGGCATGGCGTGGTCTGAGCGGCACGCATCGGTGCTCACAAACGTGCTGTGGCGCTGACAGGCTCGCCACCAGTAGACGCGGCGGCGACGCCGGCGCGGGCGTTTAAGGTTGATCGCGACCCACGGGGCCGTTTCGGGTCCCGGGACCGAGCCCGCGGTTGCCTGTCACCTACGTCCAAGAAGACCACAGCGATCGTGGGTAACTTGCTGTGGGATATGTTGTTGTGGACGGTTGACGGAACACGTAAAACAGACCCAGACTGTCGTCGTCCTCCTCGTCGTCGTCGACGTCGTCGTCTTCGTCGTCCTCGTCTTATTCGTCGTCGTCGTCGCCCAATGCAGCTGTCAGCTGGCGATGGCTCAGCTACCGCAGGCTGGTTCGACCACTCTTCCGCAAGTGCAACGCGCGGGGGGTCTCACTCTTCCTTCTGGCCAGTGCTCGGTTGCAGTGCGATACAGCCAACGCGCCTAACAAGGACTCGCGCCTTCTCAAGGGTTCCCTTGTGTCCTTGCCTTTGCGGCCTGTCCTGTGCCGCTTTTATTTGCCATTTTTTTGCCAAAGCATCCCAACACTTCGGTTTCCAAGGGTCTTGCGTCATCACCACCCGTCCATAATACGCGTGTTGATTGTAGACCCAGCGCCACCGAGAAGATGAAGACTGGGCGGCCCCGCGCCTTCTCCCGCAGGCGCTGTGGTGTGCGCAGGCGCTCTGGTTCACGCAGGCAGCGTGGTGCACCCCAGCGCTGTGTTGCACAAGGCTGCTGCGGTGTACACAGGCGTTGTGGTGTACGCGAGCGCTGTGGTGCACGCAGGCATCGTGGTGCACACCGACTTTGTGTTGCACGTGGTTGCTGTGGTGTACACAGGCGCTGTGGTGTACGCAGGCGTTGTGGTGCACGCGTGTAGAATTCTCATGCGCTCCACTTTCAATTGTTTTTATATAAAAAACAGATGCCCCACTTCCTATAGGGATGTCTCCTCAAGCAAAGAATTTGAGGTGGAACCCATATCGGTTCGTTTTTTTTTAGTTTCTATGTGCATAATTGACGTTCGGTGGAATCCAGAGGCGCTGCTTCCATTTTAAGAATCCTTTTTATAAACAATGGTCGTTTGTAGAATCCAGGGGCGATACAGATGGGAGTTAAAACGTTTGTTTTGTGGGATGCTAAGGTGGTCAAGTTTCACAGTGCTGGCGTTTTGCCGCGGGCAGGCATTGCGGTGTACACGGGCGCTGTTGCGCACACGGCTGCTGCAGTATACGCAAGCACTGCGGTGTGCATAGGCGACGTGTTGCTGCAGTGCACGTGGCTGTTGTGGTGTACGGAGGCGCTGTGGTGTGCTGCGCGCAGGCACTGGGCATTGCACACGGGGGGTGCGGTGCACACGTGCGATTGATGCGCCCGTGGCGCAGACGCACCCTGGCGGGCGCACGCCGCGCCGCCGTTACCGTTACCCTCCCGCCCGGCCCCGGCCCCCGAGTAACGACCGTTACCCGGGCAGGAGAAAAGCGGGCACCTGAACTGGGGTTCCAGAGGGAGCGGGAGTTTTAAACAAGTGGGCCGCCCCCGTGCTCAGGGAACTGGTCGCCAGTTATATGACATATGCACTCGGAATGTGACGATAATGAATGAGATCTTGCTTTTAGAATCCATCATGTGGGTTCTGTTGGGGACCTTTTGGGGAGTCTTTGGGGCCTCCTGGACCGTCTGACCGTCTGGAGGCCATCTTGGGTGTCTTCAAGGTCTCTCTGGCGTTTTGGCACCCTTGTTTAGCCATCTTAGAAGGTATCTTTGGCATCTTGGATTCCACGATAGGGCTTCTGAGGTGCGTTGACGACCTCGTCCCCCGCCTCTTCCTCTAATGAGATGTTGGTCCCCTGGGCAGGGGCAATGGGGGAGGGGGACAGTTCATCATCTCACACGCCCTCGCACCCCTGGCAAGTGGGGGTCGGCAGATTTTTTACATTCCTCGCCCTGCATTTCAACATTACCTGTTACTGTCCGACATATTCGGCGCACGGAGGAATCTGCACCACGAAATTGTCGTGTCACACATCTTGAAGCTTTTGGAGCGAACTTCCAGCGTGGGTATTCAGGACATGGCTTGCGTCGGAGGCTGCTGCAATATTTTGATACCTTATTTCTTGAAGCGGCGCACATTCAGCTGCGGCCACAAGATGGATCTCACCGAGAATTGGAGCCATGACTGGGTGCGGACGTTCCAAAGAGCATGTTGACGCAAAGCGGAACAAACATAAAGACTGAGACCGTCCCGTCGAGCCTCCCAGGCTGATCCCAAGGTGATCCCCATGACTTCTCGATTAAATCGATATGAATTCAGGCTGAGCCCAGTACGACCCCATGATTCCAAGCTTATCCCAAGATGAACCGAACATGATTCCAATCTGACCTCTGGATGGCCTCAAGACTTCATGAGGATCCCGGGATGACCCCATGATGATCCCGACACCTCAAGACGGCTCCAACATGACCCCGATGCGCCCCGAAGGGTTGACCTCCCTGGCCCACTATGATTCCACGGCGAACCCGACCCATGACCCGAATTTGAGCCCACGATGACACCCCGACGACCCAAGTCAATACGATCTCAGGGCCAGAGACGCTTTCTCAATTTTAGGAGACAGCGCCCCCGCGTCTGACCTCCTCACTCCTTCCTCCCCCTCCCTCCCTCCCTCCGATCCCTGCATCTGCTCTCCGCAGGTCCAGTTCGGCACCCCCCGCACGGATCGTGGCCCCATAAGGAGCTCCACCGAAGGTCCCAGTAACGCCGCCCGCATGCATTTCCCCCACTCATTACAGCGTCTCGTTGCCCCACAGGGGGTTCGACCGAAGGCCCCAGTGGTGGTGTTCGCATGCGTCTTTTCCCACCCAGCACATCGCTTCGCGGCCCCATAGGGAGCTCCACCGAAGGCCCCAGTGGCGGTGTTCGCATGCGTCTCCCCCACCCAGTGTGGCCACATATGGAGTTCCACCGAAGGCCCCTGTGGCGGTGTTCGCACGCGTCTCCTCCGCCCAGTACAGCGTTTTCTGGCTCCATAGGGAGCTCCACAGAAGGCCCCTGTGGCGGTGTTCGCGTGCGTCTCCCCCACCCAGTACAGCGTTTCGTGGCCCCAACGGGGGCTTCACCGAAGACGATACTCACAGATGCGGCGTTCACAGCTGCATAGGGTTGGGTGTTTCTCCAGGCTAATTTGGACGTTTGGGGTTTTGACAAGCTCTGGAATGTTCTGGGGGCCCCCATTTCCTAGAGGAAGCGGCGCTTCCTCGAGGATGGGGTACCCCTCCATCGGCACTGCCTGGCCAGCACACCACGCAGCGGCGTGAGAGCAGGGTGGGGCCACGTCATATCACTACGGCCATCTCGCATGGTATGGATGAGCAACTTTCCAACGTTACCCGTGCATCCTTCCCCTTCGGCCCATCCTTGGCCGCTTTCGCTCGCCGCGCCCCGCCCGCAGAGTGTCGACGTGGCCTTCCAAGGCCCTTGCATCCTTATCGTGCGTCCTTGTGCTACAGGTTGGCCGTGCTCCATCTGTGCCAGCAGCGCCCTCGTCCAGCTCGCCGTCGCCAGGGCATTCGCACTCGCAGCAAGCTCGGCGGCGCAGCACCCACCGACTGGATCTCTTGGCGGTGCGCGTTTTCCTGGGACCTCTCGGGCCAGACGTGGGGCGCCTAGGCCCGCAGCAGAGCAGGCCCGTGGTGTCTTAAGGGACGTTCCGCTACTCGCAAAGTGCCTACTCGCAAACGCTCGAAAACAAAGCCATGCCTGCCTCTATGTAGTGGAGCGTAAATCCCCCTCGCGGCGGACGCAGGCCATTTGCGAGTAGTTCTTTTGCGAGTAGTGGAGCGCGTTTTTCTATCAATGCAAACGGTGGCTAGCCAGAGCGCCGGATCTTGCAGGATCCTGCATGGCCAGGGATGCACTGACCCGGGCCTGGGTGCAGGATCCTGCGGGGTCCTGCAGGATCTTGGACGGCTTGATTGACCTGGGTTTGGATGGACCCGGGTCAGTAGATTCCAGAGCGCAGCCGTCGTGTTTTCTCCTTTGCGCCTGCGAGGATGCGGTGCGGGCGTGCGCGGTCTCTGAGCAGTCCGTCCTTTTCCGCGCTCGCCTGTCGGGGTTTCCCGGTCGCGCTGCTGTCCTTTGCTTGGCCGCTCCATCCACAGCATTGCGTGCCATTCGCGTGTCGATACGATCGAAGTGGGTATGGGACAAACGGGGACGAAGAGTGACAGCAGTTGCTGCCCAATTTGAAGAGGACCTGCTGCCGGTGTCGCCGCGGACGATGCTGAGACAAAAAGTCACTTTCTCAACAGGGGCCGCTGTCGGTGTTTTGGACAGGTTCTGCTGCTTGGCACCATGCCCATTCTTTCCGTACCCCTCTCGGGCGTGTCAAGCGTGGACGCGTCCTGTACATGCTCGTTTCGCGACAGTGTATTCGTCTCGCGACAGTAGTGCCATCTCGCCAGCGGAGGGAGCGGGCGTGCACAGGTTCGGATGCAAGTCCTAGGAGGTCAGATTCTGGCTTTGCTCTGGTCCGGAATCCGGCTCCATCCTGCTTCATCCCGTTCAATCTGGCTCATACTCCCGTCTAATCCCGCTTCATATGTCTTTCTCCCGCTCAATCCGCGGCCTCATCTGGCGTAGAAGCCCCCAATGGGGCTCCATCCTCTCCAATCCTTTCCACGAAGACCTCCCAGCAGCTGCCTCCTCCACCACAGGCGCCCGGGATCGCGCGGCACAGCGGTGCCGTCGGTGCGGGCGCGCGGGCGCGTGCGCGCGGCACAGCGGTGCCGTCGGTGCGCCGGCCCGCCCCCCTGCGCGCGCCCGCACGCTTCGCGCGCGCAGGTGCCCAGCGACAGCCCCGCGGGCGCCGTCGGCAGCAGGCCCTGCGGGCTCGGCCAGCCCAGTCCGCATCCTCGTCGTCGTCGCCGTCGTCGTCGTCGTCGTCGTCGTTCTCTGCGTCGTCCTCGTCGGCGTCGTCCTGTCCGTCGTCATCGTGCGAGTCATCCTCGTCGTTCTCGTCGTCGTTCTCGTCGGCGTCGTCCGTCGTCCGTCGCCCGTCGTCCGTCGTCCGTCGTCCATCGTCCATCGTTCTCGTCGTCGTCGTGGTCGTCGTCGTTGTCGACTTCCGTCGTCGTCGTCGTCGTCGTCGTCGTCCTCGTCGTCCTCGTGGTTCTCGTGATTCTCGTTGTCGCCGCCAGAGATGCCAGCCTCACACGCGTCCGTCTCCCCTCCGAGCTGCCCGAAGACTGGGCCTCGTCGGCAGGGGAGGCCAGGGCTGCAGCAATCGGACGTCATCGGCCGGGGGGCCTGGTGCTCAGAGGGCTCCGCCGGGCCGACGGCGGCCGGGCGCTCGCAGCTCGCTGGCAGCGCGGACCCGTACTCCTGCGAGGAGCAGGTCCACGGCCGCCCCCCCCCAAATCCCAACCTCAGAGCAGCGAGACGTCGTGATAAGGATACGTTCCAAGTTGCCCAGTATTTCTGCGATCGTTCATTTGTGCCACATGGGCTCCAAAATAAAGGTATCCCCAGCCAATTGCTTCGTGACAGAAGTCTCGTCGCGCAGCCATGCGTCCCCGTCGCGCTTGAACATGAACCCTGGCGGACATGTCGGATCAGTTCCATCTTGGGCTTGGGGTGCTAGGAGCGGCGCTTCGGGGAGCGCGTTTGCTTAGGCAAGACCTGGGGCTCCAAATGGGGCCTGAGGTTTGGCGTTCCACGCCTTCGCCGTTCCGCGCCTTCGCCGACACCAAGAATTTGCTTTCCCGCGCGCACGTGATGTTGAATTCCGCTTGTAAGCCGGGGGTGCATGATGAGACGGAGCGTCGCAGGTCCCCCCGTTCTTTGGCGTGTCCCGAGTGTCATGGAGGGCGACAGGTGAAGAGGAAGAGAAGGAGGAAGAGGAGGAGGAGGAGGAGGAGGTGACTCTAGGAAACTGCCCAACTCGCTTTAACATCCTATACGCTTGTCCTCCCCTCGAATGTCGATACTCGGTGCTCCGGGGATGTCTGCCCCCTTTCCCCCCCTCCCCCCCCTTCGAGGGCGACCACTTCTCCAGATGAGGTCGCGGGTTACCTCCTCCCAGGCAGAGTAGGCGCCGCGGGACAAACATCTTTGCCCCCAGGGGGCCCATATGGAGCTTCTGACGAGGTCGACGGTCGACGACGTGCTTGCCCCCAGATGGGCGGCGTAAGCAGGTGGGTCCAGCTGCGCGGACGTTCACTCGCAAGCTGGCCGCGTAAGGCCGAGCGTGAGCGCCCTCGTTCTCCGCGCTTTGTGCCGCGTGAGCGGCCTGCGAAGCCATCGCGTAAGGCGTAAGGCCGTTGCGCCTTCTCGCGCAGGAGCGATGCGTCCTCGTCCTTTGGCGATGCCGATTATCACTCGGAGCAGCGCGTGGGCACGACCAGGTGGATCTTCAGGCTTACGGCACTACCCTTATGAATGGGGGACGGGGAGAGTAAGGGGAACGAGGAGGAGGGAGGAGGAGGAGGAGGAGGAGGAGGAGGAGGAGGCAGAGGAGCAAGGGGAGGAGGAAGAGGAGGAGGTGGAAAAGGAGGAGGAGGCGGAAAACGTCGGAGGAGGAGCTTGGGAGGGGAGTAGCCGACGGGAAGGGGGACGGAGCAGGAGTAAGAGTGGGGAAGTGTTACGAGGGAGGGGAGTACGATGGGGAATGAATACGAGGTGGAGGAGGGCAACAAAGGAGGACCACGGAGGACCATGAAGGACGAGAGAAGAGGAGGACGAGGAGGAGTAGGACTCTGTCACCTTTCGAATCCGAGGCACCGCCCCCACCCTCGATTGTTCAGAATTGCATTGCCCCATTGATGCTCAAGACGTCTCATCGTTCGCAGATGGTGCGCTTTGTGATCCTACCAAACGGATGGGTTCGATTCTAGTTTGATGCTAGTTCGATTCCTTCTCGATTCAAGTCCGACTCAAGTCGAGGACGTTCGACGCAGCATCGACGCATGAGTGGAGCGATTTGCCCCAGGAAGGTCCCCAGAACGAGCAGTTGTGTGTGTATGTGTGTGTGTGTGTGTGTGTGCAATGCCGCCCTTTGGGGCTGGAGCGCGGACCGACTCTCGCTCGGGTGCCGTTCGCATCGTTGGCGACGGCGCGAGCCTTGTACGAACGCGCCGCCCTGCAACTTGACGCCATGGGGGAACGCGTCTCACCGCAGGATATTTGTAGTTCGCGCCCAATGAGGATGCCTGAGCCTCCAATGCGCGCCCCTTTCGGCGCGACCCTGCCGTCGGGCGCGCCGCGGGGAGGATGTGAAGAGGAGGAGGAGGAGGAGGATGAGGAGGAGGAGGAGAAGGAGGAGGAGGAGGAGGAGGGGGGAGACAGAGGAGGTGGAGCAGGAGGAGGAGAAGACACTGAGGAGGAAGAGAAACCCATCATAATAAAATACAGGCCGAATCAAATGTTTGGTCGTCCCATGAGGTCGCCGGCAGGCCAGTGGGCGGTCATGCCATGCCATCGTTCCGATGAATGCCAAGATTTTGGCACAAGCTTCGTTTCTCCCCAGCGACTCTTCGAATTAACACGTGTGTGCACGTAACTATTGAACATCGGCGTGTGGCGTGGTGTTCGTTGTGAGTTTGTCCGTTGTTTTGTTCGCAACCATCCTGTGGTGGTGGGCCCTCGTTTTGAGAAGACTGCGCCGCGCGTCTCCGCTCCCCCCCGCCCCCCTCCCCCTCTTCCCTCCCCCCCATCCTCTCATCCCTGCCTCTGCCCTCCGCACCCTTTACAGCGTTCCGTGGCCCCATAGGGAGCTCCACCGAAGGCCCCAGTGGCGGTGTTCCACCCAGCACAGCGCGTCGTTGCCCCAGAAGGTCCCAGAGGCGGTGTTCGCATGCGTCTCCCCCACCCAGCACAGCGCGTCGTGGCCCCATAGGCCCATAGGGAACTCCACCAACGACCCCTGTGGTGGTGTTCGCATGTCTACCCCACCGAGTACAGCGCTTCGTGGCCCCATGAGAAGCTCCACCGAAGGCCGCAGAGGCGGTGTTCGCATGCGTCTCCCCCCGTCAGTACAGTCATGGCCACATAGGGAGCTCCATCGAAGGCCCCAGTGGCGGTGTTCGCCGTCGTTTTCCCCCGCTCAGTGCGGCGCTTCGTGGTCCCACAGGGAGCTCCATCGAAGGCCCCACCAGCGGTTTTCGCATGCGTCGCCCCCATCCAACGCGGCGCCCCGTGGCTCTATAGTGAGCTCCACCGAGGGCCCCAGTGCCCAGTACAGCGCTTCGTGGCCCCATAGGAAGCTCCACCGAAGGCCCTAGCGGCGGTTTTCGCATGCGTCTCCCCCACCAAGTACAGCGCATCGTTGTCGTATCGGGAGCTCCATCGAATGCCCCAGTGGCGGTGTTCGCATATGTCTCCCCCACCCAGAACAGCGCTTCGTGGCCCCATAGGAAGCTCCACCGAAGGCTCCAGCAGCGGTTTTCGCATGCGTCTCCCCCACCAAGTACAGCCTACTGCCCCATAGGGAGCTCCATCGAATGCCCCAGTTGCGGTGTTCGCATGCGTATCCCGCACCAAGTACACCGTTCGTGGCCTTATCGGGAGCTCCACCGAAGACAATACTCACGGATACGGTACTCACAGTTGTATATGGTTGGGTCCTTCGCCAGGCTGATGCTCAACCATCTCTGGTTTGGGTTCTCGTCTGGATCGAGCCCTGCTCTTGTTCTTCCTCATCCCCATTCATCGTCCTCCTCCTTGTCGTCCTCCTCGTCCGGACACTTCCTGCCCCCTCGCTTCCCTTCATGTCTCCTGATGGCGCTGTCCGGGTGTTTGCGATCTGCCAAACTGGCGCCACTGTCGTAGGCTCTTTGCAAGTCCTGCGGAGTGGCGCCCTACGCAGATCAGAACGGGACGTCGCCGTCCTTTGGGGTTGCGACCTGCGAAAGTGACGCCACTTTCGTGGGCGCCTGGAAGATCCATCGGAGTGGTGTCCCAGGTGATCAGAAAGAGACGTTGCCGTCCCCGGGGGACTGCGGACTGCGAAACTGTCACAACTTTCGTTGGTGCCTTGGAGGTCCAGCGGAGTGGTGCCCCACGCAGATCAGCATGAGACGTCGCCATCCTTTGGGGGCTGCGAACTGCCAAACTGTCGCCACTTCCGTGGGCGCCTGGGAGGTCCAGCGGAGTGGTTCCCCACGCAGATCAGAACGAGACGTCGCCGTCCTTTGGGGTGTGCGGACTGTGAAACAATCGCCACTTTGGGGGATGCCTGGAAGGTCCAGCGGAGTGGTACGTACGGCGGGCCTTTCAGGATGTGATTTTGTATTGAGCGCTCCTATGTGTTGGCGCTTCATGCGTGCATACGGTTTGGCACGTCCCCGTGCAATTGTTTGCACCGGTAGGTGTCGTGTGACTGTTGCCGTGCAGCTCGCGATATCGATGCACGTGGCGACGTGGCGAAAAACAGCATTGAAGCGTTTCGTGTGCTCGCGCACTGCGTCCACGGACACATGGTTACATTAAACTTGCTGGGCCCGAAGAGCTTGCCGCGCGGCGACCGCAACCCGCACCTTTTGGCGAAGTCCTTCCCTTCGGCGTGAAGGCCGTCGAAGATTCCGAGGAGGACGGCGGCGTGCGAGGGGGCGGGGGTGGACAGGATGAGGACGGAGAAGGAACCAGCGCCCGACACAGAGGACGGCGGAAGGAGGCAGTGGAGAGAACAGGATCCTACAACGGAGGAGGACGGATAATTCAGGCGATGCGGAGTTGGATGGGGAGGAGGAGGAGGAGGAGGAGGAGGAGGAGGAGCAGCAGCAGGAGGAGGAGGAGGAGCAGGAGGAGGAGCACGAGAAGGAGAAGGAGGACGAGGAGGAGGCGGAGAGGGAGGGGGATGAGAAGGGAGGAGGAAGAGGAGGAA